CGACACGGAGCGGGGGGAGCTTGCTGCCAAGTACTGGAACAGCCAGAAGGACTGGCTGGAGTACAACCGGGGCGCAATGGACAAGTGCCGATACAACTACGGGGTGGCTGAGCAAGCCCACGTGGTCGGCCGCAGAGGTGAGTCCCCGGGGTCTGGGGCCGTCGCTGGGTGCAGAGGCGGTGGGGGTGGGGGACGTGCCCAACCATAGGCAACAGTATAGGTGATGAGTTGGCGTGGCATGGGAGTGGGGATATGCCCCCCACATGTGTGTGCCCACAGCTGGGCGTGAGGCTATAGCTTGGCGGGACCACCACCAGGCAGGAACTGCCTTTGTGGCCCAGTGGATGGGACCTGGCACAGGAGGGTGGAGCAGGGAGGCAAGACTCACTGCTGCCGCTGCCGCCAACACCTCTGCACCAGCCCTGCCACCATGGAGTAAGGCCGTGCCCCCAGCAGGGTGAGGAGTAGCAGACCAGGGGGACTCGCATGCGGGGCTGCACCTCTACCCGACCACCTTTTCTCTTTAGAGGAGAACATCCACATTTTTCTGCAGCAAATGGAAAACCCAAACCTCTGCTTATGAGACACATGATGGGGTCTCCTGGGAACAGGGCTAGGTCCCAAACCAGGGATATCTTTGCAACTCTCTGGCATTCCCAAGCAAAGCCCCTGGCTGTCCACAGCTGGAAACCATTAACCCAGAACAGGACACTTGGTGCTGCAGCCATAGAGCTTGGCCTCCAAAATGGAGAGGTCTCCCCCTGACATCTTGAATGAAAAAGGCAATCCAGAGCCTTTGAAAGATGCTTCTGGATTCAGGTCATTTGTAACTAAAAAAAAGAAACTGCAATTAAAGTTTAGCTTTAATTATAAAAATATCATACTTTCTTGAATGCAACATGCAGCAGCAACAACATGCATCAGGGGGAAAAAAAACATTTCCTTATCATAAGTAACCACGTAGCAGCAGGGAGGCTCCCACTTGCTCTGCTTCTTGAAAGTCCCTGCAGATTTGACTTACACATTTGCTCGGAAACTGCTCTTACCGTATTCCTCAGTTAAGATTCACATGGCAAAGCCCAGTTACCTGTTCTTGGGGAAAACAATGTGTGCTGCATGTGAGAAAACAGAGTGGTTTTATAGGGGCACCAAAGTAAAGATCTAAATGAACTCAAGGCTCAGGGGTGAGAGAAACTGAGATGGGCAGGGGTTGAGGGGAGAAAAATTTCCCTCATGGAGGGATCATTCTTTCTCCCAGCTCATTCTCTCCATCTCTTTCCTTCTCAGTCAAGCCCGAGGTGAAAGTCTCCCCAACAAAATCAGGGGCCCAGGCACACCCAGACACACTGATTTGCTCCGTGGCGGGGTTTTACCCTGGCGGGATCGAGGTGAAGTGGTTGAAGAACGGGCAGGAGCAGACGGCCGGAGTGGTGTCCACGGAGCTGATGCAGAACGCAGACTGGACCTTCCAGATCCTGGTGATGCTGGAAATGACCCCCCGGAGCGGGGACGTCTACACCTGCCAGGTGGAGCACAGCAGCCTGCCGGGCCCTGTCACTGTGCTCTGGGGTAAGGAACTGGGATCCTGGGGCAGCCCCTCACATATTGAAGAGGATGGGACTCCCTTTGTGCAGCCCCACAAGGGCTGTCCATGGTCAGACCCCTTTCCCACAGGGGGCAGGGGTGTGAGCAGGGGGTGGGAACACAGACTGAGCCCTTCACCCCCGGCTCCTGTCTCCACAGAGGCGCAGTCAGACTCGGCCAGGAGCAAGATGCTGACGGGGGTCGGGGGCTTTGTGCTGGGGCTGATCTTCCTGGCGCTGGGACTCCTCGTCTACCTGAGGAACAAGAAAGGTGAGGGGCACGGCTGGGGTGCTGGAACCAAGGCGTCGTTGGGGCAAAATGCTCGGTCTGTAGGTCTGTCTGCAGGCTTCGCTCCCTCTCACACCCCAGTACGAATTGCCCTGGAGTCTGGCAGGGGCCTCCCAGTTTCTCACCTCCTGGGGCTGGGGCTGGATCCCACTGTCCCCCCCTCCTCTAAGGGGCAGGGCAGAGCAGGGGCCATGGGTAGGCAGAGCTGCCACTGCCTTGACTCTGGGCATTTCCTCTCCTCTGTTTCAAGGCAGTGACCCTGGGTTTGGAGGTGCCAGTCCCAAGGGGGTGGGGGCACCTGAGTGTACCCCACTTTGGGACTTCATGGGGCTGAGGTATCAGGGGGGCTTTCTGCCCCAAACCTCTCTCCTCTGTCCTGTTGCTTGTCTGCTGGCACAAAATCAGGTTTGCCCCTGGAAAAACTTTGTATCCCAGCAGACCTTAATCTCAGCTGCCCTTGTCTCGGACTTTGTTGCTCCAACAGAGGAAGCTTTGGCAGCTGGTGGGTCAGACTGACTTTGTTCAGCCCAATATAATGTAGATCCTCAGGGCCGCAGGGGGGAACGGCCTGCAGGTGTCAGTTATCCTGGTCTCACCCTTAGCCCAGACAGTCAGGGAAGGATGTGGGACAGGGGAAGGATTGTCTCACCTACACCAGACCCAGGGAGAAAATGTCCCCCTGCATTGTGACTGGCAGAGAGGAGCATAACAGACCTTTCCTGGAGGCAGGAGATGAGGAGCAGCAGCAGAAAGGAGAAAGCACTGCTCCTGGCTCTGCTCCCTGTGGGGCCCATGTAGTTTTCACAACTACCTGAGAACTCGCGGAAGCTGCTCTTACCATATTTCTCACATATACTGCTCACTGCGATTTCCAGCAGGTGTTTTGGGTTTTTTTTTCTTTTTTTCAGGAAAAGTGTCTGTGATATGAAAGGATAGTATACTTTCTCTTGCATCCATGCTCATCAGTATCAGTGTCCTTACTGATGATACCCCTCACCACCTCCTTCCTCCCTAAATGTTCAATTGCTGTTTTTGGTGGAAAACAGAAACATAAGAAGGGCTCCTCCAAAATGTGCACAGCCGTGGTCTGGTCTAGGGCTGTTCCTGACCCTTGATTCTGCCCGTATCTCCCTGCCTGTCTTCGGTCATGTAGTGAAGATACAGACACACCTTCCTAACTGATACTGTGGCTCACACAAGTGTGACCCTGGTAGAATTCATCCTCGCTGAATGTTGTCTGGAAATAGAGACCAAGCACAGAGTGGTAAATCCAGTTTTGGGAAATATCTACACGTGCACACAGTGAATCCCTCTACCCAGCCCTGTTTGGGTGAGACTGTGATTTGTGATTTTAATGGGGGATGTGGGGTCCCTAATGGGGTCTGCTCTGCACCTCAGGGCTAGGGCAGGATCTCTGATCTCTCGGAGGGGCTGCCTCTGGTGAGACTCTCACCATGTTTCTCCTTGTTTTCCAGGCCGCCCCGTTCCCCAGCCAACAGGTAATTTCCATCTCTGTCTACCCCTACGAAGCCCCCTCCCTCTCAGGGACCACAGGCTGTACAGGGAGTCCATGGAGC